CCTATATAGAATTTATGCATATGTACCTATTTTTTTAACTTCAGATTTTTGCTGAGGAATATAATAATGAATTTGCTATGCTAAGTGGGTTATTGTTACAGAAATTTCAAAAACTACTGGGTTGTTTTGAGAGTCTAAGTTTGAAGTATGTGCTTTGATCACTCAGAAAATTTCCAGTGTTCTAGGTTCCCATTGAGGCAGTTACTCCAAAATTATATCCCCCCAAACTATAGAAATGGAAGGAAATTAAAATTCCACTTGACTTTTAAGAACTTGATATAAAATGATAGGCTGGAGCGATAGCACAGAGGGTAGAGCATTTGCCTTGCACACACGTGGCCAACCCGGGTTCAATTCCTCCGCCCCTCTTGGAGAGCCCGGCAAGCTACTGAGAGTATTCCACCCACACAGCAGAGCCTGACAAGCTCCCCGTGGAGTATTCGATATGCCAAAAACAGTAACAGTGAGTCTCACAATGGAGACGTTACTGGTGCCCGCTCGAGCAAATGGATGTACAACAGGAGGACAGTGCTACAGTGCTACGTTAGATTCACTAACGAACATATAAACTTGGTCTGGATGTTATCATAGGCAGGTCAGGGGAGGACTTGAACTTTGGTATCAGAGCATTAGAAGAAACTTATCATAAATTCAGAAGCAATATCCTGGATCACACATGTACTTTGTCAGTCCTGTGTCAGCTTAGTGATGAGAGTTTTTATAAGACACCTTTCCCTTACCAGAGGGAAACACATGATACACTTTTGTTCAGAACTTGTATACAGAATTTTAAAAGATTTGATTTGGAAGTATTTTCCTGTCCAGAACATTCCAGTCAAGGTCTTCACGACCAAGCATACATTTCACTGGCACAAGGGCTCTGAGTTCTCCTCTTTCCTTCCACAGGACAAGGAGGAGGACTTTAAGACAGTGATTTTGGAGGGATTGGAGATGGCCAAGCATCAGGTATGGGAGGTTTTTGATGCTTGTGACATGGCAGCAAAAAGTGCCACATCCGGACCAAATATGGAGACATACAAGCAGCTCGGAATTTCAACAAGTACGAGAGAATTCAAAAGAGAGGCAGCCTTCCTGCAAGCACAGATTAGTGAAGCGAAAGGAGAAATTTTAGGGAAATGTCTTAATTCTTCATTACTGAGGATGTGTAATCATGACTAAGAACAGAAGTCTAAACAACGGTACTGTTCTTGGTCAAGAACTGAACATGCTCTCAAGTACTTCTTGACAGGAACGTAAACAAGAGGGGATGTCTTACTTTCTTGCATTTGGAAATGAGCTGCGTAGAGCTCGAGCATGTCAATCGTCCTCCTTCGAGATAAACTTAGCTATGCAGATACTTTCAAGCTCAGCCTAGGAAGATGAAGGTGGCCGGAGAGCCAGGGAATGGCAGTGATAGCAGTCAGTGGCATGCAAAGAAAAATGGACAGCACCGACATTAGGACCACTTTCAGTCATGAGAGAGGAAGATGGTCTTGCATAGCCAGTCATTTGGGCTCGCGGTGGAATGATCACTGAGCAGTAAACCAAGTGGGAGTGAGTGGCGATTGGTTCCTTTCCTCCTTGCTTTCATCATCAAGATCTAGATCTTTCCGTTTTAAGTTGAATCTATTTAAATCCATTGTCCTTTCCCTGGTTTTCGTTTTAAAATAAGCTGAACTTGCGAGCACACAGAAGGAAAATGAGCCATGTTTTTGCAGCTGCTCTCTCCATTAAAAAATTCATATTAAAATATTAAATAATGGAAGTTTCCTGGCACTCCTTGATCTTAGATGGCATTAATGATCGTGGCAGATTCTATTTCTGCTTCCTAGGCCCACTTAAGTATTTTTCTCTCCAGCTCATTGTTTTCATTATCCGATTTGCATCCACCAGGGTCAGACACCATTCGTTCCATTATAACCTTCACTAATTAATGTCTGTTACTGTTTATGTAATTGGTTTGGCTTCTTAAACCAGCCTCTTTTAATACATACACTTTTACTTGAGTTTGTATTCCGTTGGCAGTTTTCACCTCTGACTTTTTGTTGCAAGGTATGGTATTTTATGTGCGGAATATTTGTCTTACCCAAGAATGTTGCAGTTCATTGTCAAGCACCAAGATCCACTTTTGACTCAGGTCCAGGTTCAACTTTCCATAGCGGTGTTGCTCTCCCAAGGATTCCCTTATTTTCTCCTTGCTTTGCACGAGGGTACCTATTTACTTTCAACCCTGATCGCCATGCTTTTTCGGGGAGCAGGGTGTCAGCAGAGCAACACCTGGCGATTCCTCTTGGCTCTGCACTTGGGAATATACTCCCGGTGGTGCTTGTCGACCCTGTGGAATAACTGGGGATTGCATATAAGGCATACGCCCTACCCACTGTACAGTCACTCCAACTCAGCTGCCGTCTTGTGACTTGAAAGTGTGATCTGCTGATGACACAGTGAACAAGGCCTGTCCCTTCTTTAGCCACACCCTAGTTACTCTGTTTCCTGGCCCTGGATGACATCAGCGGGAGTCCAGAAATCTGGGAGCTTTTTGAATATAAGCAAAGCACAACAAACTTTGGTATTACTCGACTCTCCCTGTTTTAAACCAATCCGGGTCTGTTTGCTTGATTCTAGTTGGGAAAATATTGCTCCAGTGTTGGGCCCGTCTGCATACGATAATTGGCACTCAAGTACCTCCAAAATTGGAGTTTTCATCCAATTTTTTGGATAAAAACTAGTTTTCAGTCTAGGATGGAAATGGTATCATCATTTGAATTCATTTTTTTGCTGGGGGGACCCTATGGGATGCTGAGAATGAATCGAACCCGGGTCAGCCGGGTGCAAGGCGAACGCCCTCCCCGCTGTGCTGTCGCTCCAGCCCCTGAATTCGTTTCTCAACTGCTGATTTTTCCGTTTTTCTCACATGCCACCCTGCTGACCGCTCCCTGCTTGTCTTCCGCAGAAAAACCCGGAGGAGGACAACCCAGGGAGAACGTTGGGGTGGGAGCCGGGGCAGCTGCTGCTGACCCTGGGCACTGTGCGCAGCCTGGAGCAGCTGCTGCCCTTCTTCAGCGTGCTCAGCCAGGTCTTCAACAGCAAAGTCACCAGCCGCTGCGCGGGACACTCAGGGAGCCCCGTCCTGTACTCGAACACCTTCCCCAGTAAGGACATGAAACTGGAAAGCCACAAGCCCTTCTCGAGCAGAGCCAGGCAGAAAATCGAAGAGATGGTCGAGAAGGATTTCCTGGAAGGGGTGATGAAAACCTGAGCGAAAGCGCCGGAGCTCCCTGGAGCGCGAGCGTCAGTGTCGTCGTTTAAAACCGACAATGTTCCGAGTTGTACAGTTTCTTCTTTTTTTGTATGTAACGAAAACGCATTTCAGGTTGTATTTAATTTAAATATTTGTAAATAAGAGCAGACGGTCGAACGTGGCCTGAATCAAGTTAACTATCGTGGGCTCGTACGGACTCTGGTGCCTAAGAAAGACCTATATATACTTATAAAGTTCGTTGTCTTATCGTCCTTCATTGTCTTAAACCTGCGAAATACACACTGCACACTTTTTTTTCCTGTTGGTTTCGGGCTTTGTTTGAATTAGATTGGTTGGGGTTCCTCTTTCCATTTCAGTTTACTCTCAGAATGGTGTTACGACTCCTTTTCTTCCACATCCCTTCACTAAGCGGAACTGAAGCCTGGGACATGCATCTTTGTAAGTAGAGCAAGACCACCTCGGCCTCGGTGCAGAGAGCCGACCCCCTCTCAATGCCTAGTGATGTTCACAGAAGAGGTGAGTTGCCTAAGGATTGCTCTCGGCGGGTGGGGAGGGGCTGGGGAGCAGCGAGTGACTATGTGTGTCTGGCATGAGACAGGGAGGTAGGGGCCGCTGTGCCTAGTGCCGAGCTCTGTGGCCAGGAGGGCCCATTTTGACTAAAACGCAAACCCAAATGGGACAGAGCTTTGCAGGAAAACTTCGACTGAGCGACAGTGGTGTGTGCTTACTGTGGACTGGATTCAACCCAAAGACAGGTGAATGCGTGGCTTTTCTGACCAAAAGTGAGTGCCTCTTACTAGCCTTGAGTCAAGACCATCGGTCTACCTTCCTAGGCTCAGAAGTGAGTCTGTACAACCAGAAGCAAGAAAAAGGCTTTTGCTTAATTAAATGGACTGTATGAAACACTTTATGGGAAAAAAAAACCAAACATAAAATATTTGATACCCATCCATTCCTCGTATTGAGGAGTGTGCTTTGTGAAGCTTCCAGAGCTGAGATTTACACTCATTGATACCCTGAGCTGTGCGATAGCATTAGATTAATTTTGTGTTTTAACTGCAGAGCACCAGCAGACTGACTCAGTTCACCCAAGTCAACAAGCAGGCGACCGATGAAATGCAAATCCATATTCCCCCACTTTGAACCAGATGCAGTCCACTGAGGTTCTGGAGGTGGAGCCTACCAGTCTACAGATGCAGTTCGTGGGTAGGAAAACGAGATGGCTGTTCTTTTTATTTTTTTTGTCTCGTGGTCTTTTCAGCTACCAAAAAAAAAAAATTTGACGGTGTCTTGATTTACCTGTTTTGATCACTCTCACTGCAGTTCTGCTCTAAGAAGCTATTCTGCACTTCCTTAAGTTGGCACATATACCTTTGAAGACATGGATAGAGTTCTTGAGATTGTGGCTTCACTTTTAGCAATGTATGTCTGACCTTAGCACAGTGGATGTTTTAAGAATTGGTACCGTGTGTTTTTTTTCTTCCATTCTAAGCATTCCTCTTTCCACCTCTAGGTTCTGCCTTGTGATTTTATTGGCAAGGAAGGACCTGATATTGTTAGTTAAGATTTATGTACTTATTGGAATATATGAAACCCACAGGTCCACGCAACTTTTATTTCTTTAATTTGAAATTACAAGAGAGTAGTTATCTGCATGCTTTAATGAGGTGTGTCATTTGCGAGCCAGTGGGATTCAGAGATAGAATTTATCTTTGTTGGCATAGGCACTTATTAGAATTTCATAAGGAACTAAAAAAAAACAACATTGTTCTGAAGGCTGAGTCTTCACCATCATCCTCATATGTGATGATAATGGTAAGGGAGTGGTTCTGCAAAATAACATAAAAGGTAATAGTGAAGGAAAAGACCTCAAAACGAGTTGGTAATAAATAAGATTTAATTTCCCAGCAGCCCCCAGGATTTTCCCCTAAATACATTAGAAGGTTAATGGCTGAATCATATGCCTAAGTCTCAATATCTGATATTAGTGAAATCAGGATTCGCAGTAAGTTTCCTCTTTTTAAAAATCTTAATTTAACCAGTATAAGATGTACCTATTTGTAGAGAATGACTCTGGTAGTGTTTAAGAAAAATAATCAGAACAACCCAATTAGGTGCCCTGACTGTAAACAACATGTCTGAGTATGTCCCAATAATGACAGTCTACGATTTTGCAAAAACTAAAAATTCAGTTTCTTGAGAAGATAAAAATTGTCTTCAGAAATTTTGTTGAGGTATTTCTCCAATTCCCCCAGCCAGCTGGAAGACTGCCAGGCTCACTTCATGTGCAAGGCTGTCCACACTTTCCTGTGAAAACCATATTAAAGGAGACTAGATGAGTACAACGGTGTAAGAGGGAGCCAGTTTTGTCGCACTAACAATGCAATTAAAACTTTTCTTTTCAGTAACATATTCCAAGACCTCGAAATGGAAGATGTTCAATTCTTCGAAGAGGTTAGTCCTTATGACCCCAAAACTCTGAATACCTTTCATAATACCCAATCCATTTTAAAGGCAAAAGGCTGCTTGACCTCTGCAACAGATTCACGATATTTATTCATGACTTTGGGGGATGGCCTTGGCCAGTGATCTTCAGTTTTTCACACCTGCAGACTCACAGTGGTCCAAAGCACCAGAGTTGAAAATCACTGGTTTAAGCCACTGTGTAAGTTTGATTGGAAATATTTTAGAGTCCACACTAAAGTCAACTCACTTTGATAAATATTCTGCAGAGCAGAGGTGACAAAGAGTTTGTAGGGCACAGGTTATAGAAGGTGAGAATACGAAGTTCGGACCTTTTCAGGAAAGCACGAGGCACAGATCAAGGCTGTTTCTTCAAGAAGAATTTGAAAGGGGTGAAGAGGGCCGGGCCCTACCCAGTGGTGCTCAGGGGACCATTTCAAGTGCCAGGGATAAAATGAGGGTCAGCCATGTGTGAGGCAAGCACTCTAATACCCGTAATTTCTCTCTAGCCAACTCAAGGAGTGCTGGGGTTTTTTGGTAGGTTTATTTTTTAAATATCGAAAATTTTTTAAATTTTAAGAATTTTGATTCTTAAAGATAATTGACACAGGAATAGGATGCTTTCAGGAAGTTTAGATTAAAAAAATCACTGAGGGGAAATAACATGAACCTCATTTTGTTTGGCTACACTAACAAATGTCAGACTAGTCATGAAGAGTTTTCCCCTCCTGCCACCCTGCACATGTTTTCAATAGATACGGCCCAGCTGACCTGTGAGTCTGCCTCTGCGTATATTCGGACAACATCTTCTGTGCCAGAGGGCCGGACAAAAGCTCGGGAAAGCCGGTACTTCTTCACCAGCTCATCAATTGCCTCCTGCAGTCCTGGGGGAGTTACGGCCTGTCTCTCGGCGTTGGTGGTGCTTATGACCTGCCTGTCTGCAACCTGTGTAAAAGCAATCTGTTACTGGATCCCATTCCCTCCAAGAAGTCTATCTGCTTAACGTGATTCCTGAAGAACTGCCTCCGCAAAGAGAGAACACTCTTCAGAACTGCTTTACAGTTACCATTCAAGTAATGGTCTGTAAACACTGACGAAGTCACCGTAGGTGTCTCTCACACATTCAAACAAAGAGGATAATAGAAAGCTTCGTAGAGAAGGGAGGGTCTCCTACGTTCTTACAAACGGAGCTGAGCGATCAAAAGCATCTTTGTGAACTCTGGCTTTTAACACCCCTGAATTTGTCTCTCATAAATCCTGCTGGTGAATTTATAAGCCGGAATAAACACATACGGAATTCAGTAATGTACCAGCAAAGACTTACGGTCTGGATTGGTTTGTGGGTTGGGCCACACCCGGCTGTCCTCAAGTGACCGTATGTGGTGCCAGGAGCCCAATCAGCTCAGAGGCCAGTAAGGGGAGTGTCCTACCGGCTGACCCGCTCTCTGATCCCCTGAAAAGCCTTTGAAAAACTCTCCCTTTCAGCCCACAGGTTCTGCTTCTCGTCATCTAGCCACAGGACAAACTGCAAGCCAAGAGGAATGCGGAAGAGACAGTTCCCTTCTCATCTGTACGGGGAGAGACAAGCAGATCTGTAGGGCAGAAGCTGAGATCTGTTGGAGCCACAGACTCATTATTTTTGCTCTCATCACTTCTGCTTTAAAAAATCGTAGAATCGCACTGTTTCTCAAAAAGATGATAGTTATTCTAAAGGTAGAACGACTTACTTGGGAAGTGCAGTGAGACCTGAGATTACACAGGCTTTACATGAGTCTGAAGTTTTGCTCACACCTTAACTTTGACCTGTCTGTTTGGAAGGTCCGTATAGAGAGCGTCCCACTGCTGCACAGTCAAGCCTTTGAGAGCCAGGATCGCCTCGATCACCAGCATGTCGGAAATGGCATCACCAGCTGCCTGTAAGAGGAGACACACGGGCACCAGCATTCGAACACAGGCGAAGTTTGGATAGGCAAGCCGTGTGAGAGAAGCAATCGCAGTCAACTTGGATTTCCCCCTCATTCTTGTTCATAATTCGATCATACTACCTCTTGATAGACCTACCTTTAATGTTCCTCCTTATGTATGAAAATTAGATTAAGTACCTTAACACTATTGGCTCACAGATGAATGTAATTTAACAATTTGCAGCATGAGCATAGCCCTAAAGTTTTTCCCATGACATAAAATCACTAGGCTTTCCATTACACACCATTTTGGTTTTTTTTCTTTGAACTGAGCTTTTTGGAAATACTGTACCATGATGGTGGAAGATACTGTGTATGACAAATCAGCTCTAAGCCTTTTTTTTTTTTTAATTTCAGAAACAGGATTATAGCCCCTATCCCTGTGTCAGGGCAGCACAACGAAACATTTTTCAGGTGCAAAAAATGAATAAGAGACTCCTAGGTTTATTGCTTTTCCTGCTCTTCTGCCAGGGTCTACACTCCACTCTCAACAATTTTGCCCATACATACGTCTTTGGTCAGACAACTTTTCTAAATATTTAAACTACCTAATACACACACACACACACACACACACACACACACACACACACACGAGTAGCCGAGTCTTTTAACCATGTAAAAGTCACACATTATGGTTGAATATTTTCATCCTACACAGTAGGGGGGAGATGAACACCCATTTCGTTTCATCAACTGTCTGTACCACAGCTGCAAAACAGTCACTAGGCCTTCTCCGGCACACTGTCCTGTCCACCTTCTGAGTCACTCAAGTAGCCAGGAGCCTGCCACTCTGTAAGGTCTCACCTGATTGAACAAGTCAATGATGTTCTCAAGGATCTTAGCAGTGTTCCTCTTCTTCTCCTCGAGGTCTTTTGCAAGTTGTCTTATCTTCGTTTCCGCAGCTTTACTAAACAGTACCTGGGCGGAAAGCACAGTCACCACTTTCCTAGAATCCCAGGTTTCCTGTCCTGCCTAAAGCCACTTCTGAAACTAAATGAACCTGGGGAAAATGAGAAGGAAAACCACCACCACCGCAGAATGTATGATGTGAGTATAAAAAGCAAATCAGAACCCAGAAGACACTGCTAGGGAAAGTAAGTTCCTTGTGAATTTATAGAACCGGCTTCCAAAATGTTAAAAGCTGATTACAGAGAAAACAGTATCTTGGCACAAGGCCATACTCGGTTGGCCACTCAGCCAGCCAAGTCTGTTTTGTGCAAACAAGTTCTTTATGCCTATCTGTTCTATCATTGTACTTTAAATAATATGTATAATAAAAATCATCGCACCTAGTAGTTGTTCTTCTCCTTTTTTTTTCCTTTTTTCTTTCTGGGTCACACCCGGCAATGCACAGGGGTTACTTCTGGCTCATGCACCCAGAAATTACTCCCGGCATTGTTCACGGGACCATATGGGATGCTGGGAAATCGAACCCGGGTCGGCAGCATGCAAGGCAAACGCCCTCACCGCTGTGCTATCACTTCAGCCCCTACTATTTTTCTTGACAGCCCCATACATGCCCCGCCAGGAGTGATCCCAAAGTATGAAACCAGGAGCATCACCAAGTACATACCTGTTTACTGGCAAGCTAAGACGGAGATACCGTCGTACTACAATATACCAACTCCCTTACTTTTACCTGCACTGCAAACTTAAAGGAGTAACAGAAACCTAATAGTTACTGCCCTTGAGAAATAAAAACCACTGTATCACGGAACTTGTAACTTAATTGTGTTTTTCAATAACCTATTTATGAGACCTGTAAGCCAATCCTGAGGGAGTTAATAAAAATCCTTTCACCTAGATAACATTTTCTATTGGCCAATTCCAATCCACATCTGGACTGAGGTCTGAGAAATAAAAAGAAAACTCATGAACTTTGTGAAAGTAAAGTGCACTTGTGCACTTTAAAATGGCAACGTATGCTATGTGAGTCGTATCTTTCAAAAAAGCTTTAAAGGCGTGCACGTGCTGCCTGAGCCCATGTGTGCTTGCGCCCACGTGGCCGAGCACATGTGTCGCCCGCATCTCCCCTCTTGAGATGTGGACTTTCATGCTTTCATGTCTAATGCTAGGACGTGTGTAGGGGCTCTCTCTCCGCCCCTGGTGTGTGCCTGTGCTCTCTCTTGAGTATATGTTTCTCTCTCTCTCTCTCTCCCTCTCTCCCTCTCTCTCTCTCTCTCTCTCTCTCCCCCCCACCTTAAAAATCCTCCAAATAAAACCTATTTATTTCATAAAAAAGGGGGAAAAAAGCTTTTAAATGGGCTACTGAGAGTGCAGAAAGTGAGACAGTCGCCTTGCACACAATCAACCCTGCCCAGTTTGAGTCCTCAGCGCTCAAGTACAGAAGGTCCCCCAAGCATGTCCAGGAGTCCCTTCTAAACACAAAGCCGAGAACAGCCCCTCAGTACCGCCAGGTGTCTAATATATTAATTTTTTAAAACACTTTTTTTTTTTAAAGTAAAGGCCCTCCCGTTGATCGTCGATTTGCTCGAGCGGGCCCAGTAACGTCTCCATTGGAGACTTTGTTGTTACTGTGTCTGGCGTATCGAATACTCTCGGTAGCTTGCCGGGCTCTCTGAGAGGGGCGGAGGAATCGAACTCGGGTCGGCCATGTTGGCTGCGTGCAAGGCAGACGCCCTACCAGCTGTGCTATCACTCCAGTTTTGCTTTTTGGGTCACACCCGGCAATGCACAGGGGTCACTCCTGGCTCTACGCTCAGGAATTACCCCTGGTGGTGCTCAGGGGACCAGATGGGATGCTGGGAATCAAACCTGGGTCGGCTGCGTGCAAGGCAAACGCCCAACCCGCTGTGCTATCGCTCCAGCCCCTAAAACACTTTTAAAACATTCTTAGCTAAGAATATGGCTCCGTTCATTAGGGGCAACACGAAGGGGGCGGGTGAGGCCTCTCCCCACCCCAACGGCGCCAACCCTGGCAGCCGAAAATCTCCAGAACTCCACCGCTGCTATGCTCACGGCTCTGCTCTCCACAGGCTCACGACGGGCCTCACCCACGAGTGGATCTATTCCCGAACGTCTCATATTTTACACCACGGATACACCAAGAGTAGCACACCACATGTGATGGGGGTGAGAGAAGAAGGCGGCCAATCTTAGGGGGGAATATAGTCATAGTCATACAGATATATATACATATATGCACACAAGACTCAACCTTGAACAACATGTTAACATGTTACTAATCTCTTATAGGAGGCCTTAGTGGGTGAAATACAACAGTCTTCACTGACTTCCCTCTCGTAAACCTTTTTGGATCATTTTTAGCAGATTATTCATAACAGGCAATACAAAATAAATTATTTCAGTTCTGCTTTAGGGGCAGGGTTTGGATGTTGGGGTGGAAACACTGGAAATGTGGTGGGAAGGTGTAATGGTGATGGGACTGGTGTTCAGATACTACATGCAGTCAAACATTGTGCACAACTTTATAAAAATAAAATATTAAAAAAATAAAAATCTTGAGAAGAAGAATATGGCTCAAGTGGTCGAATATATGCTATGCCATGGAGTCCATCTCCCTAGCCAACTGATGGCACTCAGGGTGTGAGTCAAAATAAAGACTTTGAGCATCCTGCCCACTAAGAGTGTCAGGAAAGAGTTTGTGTGTTTGTTGCTAAGTGCCTGAAACTCACACTTTCAGCATCATTCACTTTACCATGGCTAATGATCTCTCCTTTTACCACCCATCACCAACTGAAGGGAACACTGACACTCTTCTTGGAAGAAAACTGAAAACTCTTATTTTCTTAAGAAACTTTAAGAACAACTTAGTGTACTTCATACTAAATATCACAATCCAAAATAAGGCCAGTTTTAACCAAGTAAGCTTACTATCCCAGTCATTTGTGTCAAATGGAATATTACCTATTAGTACTCAGATGCAGACACTGTTTCATCATAACAGTGCTAGGTAATGTCAGTTGCAATCACTTCAGAGAACTTACCGTGCCGTGACCGTTTGCTTCGAAATAAACTCCGATGTCAAACTCTTGAGCCTTGTGGTGCAAATGTTTTACGCCGGTTTTAGTACAATAGACAGGTACCTATGGCACACATGTTAAAAGAGACGTAACACAGTTATTCAATTAGCAAGCACTGTGTATCATCCACTATCTCAAGGATATAACAGAGCCAAACCACACAGACTTAGTGAAAAGGACAAGCAATTAAATACACTGTGGTAAAGTGCTAACCTGGAGGAGAAAAGGTTTTACAGAAGCACAGTCGTAAAGGAAAACGAAAGATGATGGTTCCTGAGACTGGAGCGATATGACAGCAAGAAGGACACTATCCTTACAAGGTGGCTGCCCTGCTTCAATCCCCGGCACCGCATATGGTCTCCCAAGCACTCCAGGGGTGACCCCTGAACACAGAGCCAGAAGTAAACCCTACCTGGGTATAGCCTCAAAGAACACAGGAAAAAATTACAAAAATGTGGAGGAATGATGACTGATTTTTTTAGCCAGCCAGTTTGTGGTATGGACAATAAGCTTTTAACTATAGAAGGCTAGATAAATATTTCTGTTTCTGCAGGATCACAGTCTGTTACAACAGTGGCTCGACTGTCCAGTGTAGTGTGAAAAGTCAATACAGTGTGTCTGTAAATAGGGATGTATTCCAAGAAAACCAAACAGGTGGCAGGCCCAATTTGACCTCAAGGATACTGTCTGCCAGATCTAGGCTCGTAAGTTTCAAAGACGGGATAGTTCATACAAAAGAATGAAACGGAATCCCTTGATTATGCCATAAAAATTCGACTCAAAGCAGATCAGAGATTTTACTGTAAAACCTGAAACCACAAGACTCCTAGAAAAAAAAGCCCTGGCAGTCAGCTGATAAGACACGGTCCTGGCTGTTGTTTTCATCAAAAGCCCCGATAATACAAAAAGCAGCAATACACAAGTAGGGGCCCTAGAGGTAGTGCAGGGGTTGAGGCACATGTCTTGTATACAGCCAACCCTAGTTTGTTCCCAGATATCGCACAGTCTTCCCCAAGTATCACCCAGGACGGTCCAAGAGGCCCTGATCACTACCAGGATGGCCTGGATAATGTCCAGCAGGACAGGGCCAGAGCAACACTCTATCCTGAAGCCCTAGGCCTCCTTGACACCGCATGAGGCTAAAAACAACAAAGGAGGACTGCTTCGTGCTAAAGCCCATCTGCGCAGAAAAGGGAACCGTCCACAAAATGCAATCTTTCCCTTTTCGCATCAGAGACGATTTAGTTTCTACCTTATTTTAAAATTTCCTATTATCCCTCAAATGGACACTTGTTACGCCTCATCTACTACAACCTACTTACTATTATGCGGATATTTACTACTTCTACATAGAATTACCTCAGAGGATCTAGCTATTAAGAAAGTATCGCAAGACAAAAACGGTTCAATACCTTCACGACTTCCTCAAGGTACCTTGTTGAGCTTCCATTTGCATACGCCGTTTGTACAACGCCAATATTGAAACTTTCTCCAATCTAAAAAACCCAAAAGTGTTGGTAATTACCTCACCATCCAAAGCAGACATAAGAAGAGCAAAGAGAATTCTGAAGAACACAAAATTATCAGTCCATGCATCTGTGTTTTAGTTGATGCAGTGACGCTAGAAATTTACAGGGCCAGTACAGCGAGCAGGGGAATTGCCTTGCATCTGGCCAACCTGGGTTTGATCCCTGGCTTCACATATGGTCCCCCTGAGCCTGCCATGAGTGATCCTTGAGTGCAGAACCGGGAGTAATTCCTGAGCACTGTTGGATGTGACCAAAAAACAAAGCAAAACAAATTTACGTATATCCTAGGGGATTACAAAAGAAAAACACTTTTGACTATTATCTAAATGATTTCTGCTGAAGGATCCCTGATCTTTATTGATTTTTTTTGTAGGTTTTTCAGTAGGCCAATTTCCTACTGCTAAGCTATGTATCCCTAACCCCCAACACTTTACTTTTATAAAAAAGTACTGAGTGGCTTTTTAATGTGTACTTTTTCTAGATCATAGTCAAAGTCAGCCTAAGGGCTAGAGAGAGTTGAGGAGGTGATGGCACTGACCATGTTGCCAAAAGTGGCCCCAAACCAAACGCCAGCCTGAGATTTCCAAAAGAACGAGACAACTGGAAGTCTTGTGTTACTGTCAGAAAACAAGTCTCTCGGATGAAATTTTTTCTTTTATTTATTTTTGCTTTTTCTCTTTTGGGCCATACCTGGAGGTACTCAGGGCTTACTCCTGACTCTGTGCTCAGCAATCACTCCTGGTGGTCTCAGGGGCACCACAGGGGAATGAACCTGGGTCGACTGCGTGCAAGGCAAACGCCCAACCCTCTGTACTATCGCTCTGGCCCCTCTGAGATAAAAATTTCTATTTGAACTTGAGACTTTGGGGGAGTGCTAGTGGAAGGTTCTTTCTAGTATCAACTGTACAGAAAGCACAATTCCAGAAAATTGCAAATCGAAGTTATGGCAGTGTAACGCAGAAAAGAGGGCCTTAAGGAAACCAGTGCCCTAACGCTGAAATGATTGGAATGACCCATTTTTCTGACCCACAAACACAAGGAATGCCCCGTAACTTGTGTTACTGACATATTCAAATACTATCTCAAAGAGAACCAGATGGATCCGTGTCATTTTATCAGGCATCAGTCACCCACAGTACCTCCGAGAGAAGCTCTTTCAGGAAGCTACTGATGAGTGTTGCCATCTTGTCTCCGTCTATGAGATGAAAGTGGCCCTTCGTGTCATGGTAGTAATAGAGAATTCTGTCGGCATCTCCATCAAAGGAACAACATCTCTCATCGGATTTTATTTCCATTCCTAGGACAGAGAATGATTTCTTAGACAAAGGCATCTCAGTCTAAGAAGTGGAAGTAAAACTTGATTATTAAAAACCTCAAGTTAGACTATGGACTGAACATGTTTGCCACTCAATGCCTCCTTTGCAGACCACAACACCCAAAAGGAGAGAGAGAACACAGGGGATTGCCCTGCCACAGAGACAGGGGGGATGGGGGGATGGGGGTGGGAGGGATATTATCCATGGTGGTGGAAAATGGGCACTGGTGGAGGGATGGGTATCTGATCATTGTATAATCGAAACCCAAGCACAAAAAATTGTAAATCTACAACTGTAAAAAAAAAAAAAAGAAACAAACAAAAAAAATGTACTTAAAATTCACTGGGAGAAAAAAACTCCACCATGTTAAAAATATGTATCTATGTGTACATGTATGTGTATATATGCATATATTATTTCTCTTATTCTCAGTATTAATAAAAGATATATTGTATGTGCAAAAAAAAAAACCCTCAAGTTTATGGGGTCAGAAAGTACATCTGGGACGGGCACTTGCTTTGCATGTGGCCAACCCGGGTTCTGTCCCCATCACTCCATCCCCAGCGTCCCACCAGGAGTGACCCTGAGTACAGAGCCAGGAGTAAACTTTGAGTACCATCAGGTGTGGCCCCCAAAAATGTTTTGTTTTCCTTATATTTCAATGACAAGAGAAAATATTTTTGACAAAAGAATAATCCTAACTAGCTTTGTGTTTTATAAATAAATATGTCCATTTTAATTGTTTGAGGTGCTTAAAAGTTCTCCTTCCCAATCAACCAAAATTACTCATTAGTGATTTTTACAGGGTAAATGTTTTCACCGCTAACTGAAATTCAGACTTTACACTGCTACTTACTATTATACTCAATTATATTCTATTTGAGACATAAACTAGCTTGGGATAACAGGTTGGCATATAATTTTTGAAAGTAATTTTTCTTGATTCACGTATGACTGGTACTGTATTGCGGTTTACATACAAAGACAAAAAGTAATCAGAAATATGTAGGCATATGCTTTAATTGGTTTTGGTTTAACAGCATCAATGACAAGCACTGAAAAGCAGAGATGTATAGTCTGTGAAAGATAAACGGCCTATATAATTTGCAACGGCCAATGCTAAAGTTATTAGCATATTTTTCCTGCTCCTTTCTTAGCCATGACAGCATCAATGTGACAAACACATGAGGGAACTGAGCAGTGAAAGGATTCTGTCTGGGCCAGGAGTAACGGCTGACTGTGGAGGACACCACATGCCTCAGGAAACTGAGGGCCTCCACTTCGTTCCAACAGGAGTCCCAGTACCGAGGAAAGCTGAAAGGACGATTCAAGACCACGTGAGTCATCTGTGAGGGTGACAGAACTACACAGCTAGCAAGGTCTAAAGAAGTAATCTCAGTAAAGGAGCCACAGTGGCTAATTAGAATGAAATTTTTCATTCCTTCTTCAGTAAGATGTTAAAATGATTGAGAGAGGCAACCGAAAATTAGTCTGTCATTTTTCAGAATGAAATCCTGTCTGAAAGTGAGAGACATTACCAGGGCAGCCAAGTAATGTTATCTGAAAGTGGGCACTTTCTGATCTTGGTAAAGAGAAAACCAGAGATTCCAACATGTAACTAAAATCCTAAGTTTCAAGTGGTGGCGATTAATCAGTTAGTCACAAATACATACAGAAGACCAAATAAAACACATCTGCAGGCTCCTTTGACTCACAAGTTAAGCATTTAGAATCTATAATATAACTAAATATAGAACACCCTGGACTACAACTAGACTCTAAAGGCCAGACTTTCTTCTACAGTAACTTTCTAGGCCCACTATGGAAAACAATAATGTTGCAAACAGAAACTATGCCAGGTTAAACTCCTTCTCCGGAGTGTGCCGTAGTCAGATAAGCGGATAACTGTCCGTGCCACTGTTCTTCAGAACAGTGATTCTCAAAGTGTGGCCCCAGACCAGCACCTTCAACACCACTTGGGCATATCTGCTAGTAAGCTAAATGAGTATCTTACACAAATCCTACTTCACAGAACAGAAACGCTAACAATCTCCTTACACACATGCTACCCCCTGATTCCGATGCAGGCTGAAGTTTGAGATGTGCCAATCCAGAATACCTTTTTTTCCCCAGATTTCACTTTCCCCACCAGGATTTCTCCACTGTGAAGCATGTGACTTACAGGCAAGCGGGGTTGGGGAAGGAGTGAGTGCCTGGAAGGACGTTAACAACGGGAAGATGCCGACACACCTGGAAATGGAAGAGCGCCCTCATCCAGCCACCAGCGTGCAAAGGAAACCAATGTTCAAGCATCCCTAAAAACAACCTACTGACCCTGTGGAGGTTCCTGACGACTTTTCACAAAGTCAGCACCACAGAGATGATTGAGCTTCCCTTTGGTCCCGTCGTTAAACAGCTGAACGGACAGCCGCTGTGAGAAGTAGTGTTCCATCTCCTTTAGCTTGAGGGCCCCTATGCCATTTGCACAGTCGACCTTGAGTGACCTTTGTTCATCTCCATTGTTAAAAACCTGGAAGCAGAAAAAGAAGAAACGTTTCAAGTTATAAAAGTGAAGCCTAACTCCAGGTCCCAAACAGAGCCGAGATCACCGGGAAGTCCCAGATGGGGTAGGTGCCACATCCCGCCTTCTCCAGATGGAACCCCGGTGACCATGAGCCTCTACAAGCATAGCTCGGGCATGCAGGAACCCGGACTTTTCCTCCAAACCGCTTACGGGGCCGCGCAACATCTCCTTACATACAAAGTGATTAATGGAAAGTAAATCATCCAACGTTTCTCCCTGAAAATCAAGCTTAACTCTTTTACAAATCACAACACCCAAAAGGAGAGAGAGAACAAAAGGGAATGCCCTGCCACAGAGGCAGGGGAGGATGGGGGGAATTGGGGGTGGGAGGGATACTGGGACCCGTGGTGGTGGGAAATGGGTGTGGTGGTGGTGGAGGGATGGGTATTCAAAATAAATAAATTAATTAAAAAAATATTTAAAAAATAAATTTAAAAAAAGGTGAAGCATAAAATACACCCGCATGTATTTTCCCCTATTTCAGGTAACTTATCTAAGCCAAAAAAAGCAAAAAGATACATATACTCAGACAAAATTTGAAACACCAAAGTAGAATTTAAAAGAATTAATTAAAAAAAAAACAAAAAACAACAAAAACCCAGAAGAATCTGGCTTCAACTGAGCATGATCATTTAAATGAAACCGCTATTTTAAATGTGATAGAAACGCAGATATGAATATGAAAATGAATGAACAGTAATATTACCTGCCCATAATCTTCATAGCATTTATCACCAGACTGTGTAGATGGCTATTAGTGTTTTGGGAATTTTGTTTCTTATTTTTTTTATTTTTTTTTTTTGGTTTGGGCCCTACCCAATGGTGCTCAGACCTTACTCCTGGCTCTGAGCTCAGGAATCACGCCCTGCAGTGAGGGCTGAGGATAGCCTGCAGTGCGAAGGACTGAACTTTGGTTGGCTGCATCAAAGGCGAGTGTCTCATCAGCTCTGCCCTCCTTGCCCAACATGGACAGTCTTTCCCTCCTACGGTCAGTCTCAGTCTCTTCTCCTCCCCAACTTCTCTCCGGTACGTTTTGTCTTAGGGGGGGTCACAGCTGGTACTGCTCACTCTGTCTTTATGCTCATGGTGCTTGGGACTTGGGGTACCAAGCAGTGTTATGTTAACGACAGCAAAACCTACTCATTATTTGTTGATCCTTACCCTTCAAAACTCACCCATGGAGAAGAAAACCTACTAGAAGAAAACGATCTCAAGAGTAAATGATCGCTGGAATAACTGCACTCATTTATTAAATACAAAGTAACACAACAGGAGAATAACACCTAAGGAGAGTCGAGATAAGGGCCAGGAGGATCGTTCCACGGCCTGGACGCCGATCTCATGTGCTAGGGGAAAAGGCACGTGGGATGGAGAATAGAACACTAAGTGAATGATGGTTCGAGGGTTTGCTCGGGATGGTCGATACGTGCTGAAAGTAGACGGTGGACCAAACACGATGGCTGCTTCGTATTTATACTGCAAACCATAGCACTCAAAAGAAGACAGAGAGTAAGAGGGAATGTGTCTGGCACAGAGGCAGGGGGTGGGAAGGGTTGGGAGGGGCGGGAGGGACACGGGGAACAGTGGTGGTGGAGAATGGGAGGATGGGGACTGGAACATTGTTTGAAACACAATCACAAAAGCTTGTAAGTCTGTAACTATATGATGGTGATCCACTAAAATCAAAAAAGAAAATAGAGAGCCCGGCAAGCTACCGAGAGTATCTCGCCCGCACGGCAAAGCCTGGCAAGCTCCCCATGATGTATTCAATATGCCAAACACAGTAACAATTGTCACAATGGAGACGTTAATGGGCCCGCTCAAGCAAATCGATGAATAACGGGAGGACCGTGATCGTGACCGTGACCGTGAAATGTTGGCTAGAAATATAAGCTTCCCAACGGTACCCACAGCACCTAGAGTAACTCTGGGAACAAGTTCATCTGAATGAGTGATTATCACAGTCATCGATAAGAACACCGTGTTTTGAGACTTTCTGCCCTAATGATCTCGGAAAGTGTGATGTTCCTTGCCAACTAAATGCTGACCGTCTATAACAAAGGCCAGACCTTGCGGAGCCTAGCGAGGAAGAGGAGATTTGCTATTTTCTTGGAAAAAGAATAGGAGAGACTCATTAAAATACAATTTCATTCATCTTGCAGTTGGATCATCTGCTTTAACATTACCCAAGGAACTTTCAGAGAGAAGTCACAGCCAGCTAGGTTCTGACCCCCAAAGCCTTGTCGGGAAGGGAGCAGGTCAAAGTCCTGCCCTGCAGATAGGCCAGTGTCCCACCCAAACTGTTTCCACCAGTTTACGCCTGGCCCAGCTGAGATGCCGCGCTGCTGAACCATCCCAGTTCCGCAGTCCTGGAGGGCACAACCACATACACAGCTGCACAACATCTCCGAATTTCACAGTACTGACAGCTCGCTATGGGGGCTGGAGCGACAGTACAGCAGGTAGGGCATTTGCTGTGCACACAGCAGGCCCAGGTTCGATTCCCTAGCATCCCATTTGGTCCCCCAAGCAACCGCCAGGAGGAATTCCTGAGTGCAGAACCCCTGCACATTGCCAAGTGTGACTCAAGCGAAAGCCAAAATAAGGAAATGACAGCCCAGAATGAGCACAGCAAGTTAGATGGGAAAGTTGCTCAAAAGCCCGTTAAGCTCAATTAGTGAAAACAGGAACCCAGAAGGCTCAGCTAGCACCTGACAAATCAGGAACTCTTCAGGCAAGGACTTTCGAAACACTATTATGAGATATGGCAGAGGGACAAAGCCACGTGGGTTCCGGGGCCGAGATCTCCAAGCCTACTCGGATTGGAGTCGAGCATCCTCCACCCAGATCCTCCAAATTCCAGTAGGCGGGGGTCACACCCACCACCTGGCCCCCTGGCGCCGTGTAATCCCATCAACGGCCAAGACTTAGAGACTATAGAATCCAACTCCCGGAACCGCACGGCCGCAAATGCGGCCATGCGACATCTTATCAGGACATCTTTTTATGACATCTTATTATCTCATTCCTACTTTGGACAAACTTGCAGGCTATCGAATGTAGCCTGCCCACAGGGCAGAGTCTGGCAAACTCCCCGTGGCGTACCAAATATGCCAAATACCAGTAACAATGATGGGTCTCATTCTCCTAAAGAGCCTTGAATATAATCTCAGGGCTAGGATGAAGAAGACATTACTGGGGCCTGCTCGAGGCAATCGACAAATAACAGGATGATGAATGAATGAATGAATAAATTATGAGATACAGGTTGTAACAAGCAAGTTCAAGTAAATTGTTTTGTGCCAGCTAAGGGGGCAGGCTTGGAAGGTGCGTGGGTAACTGGGGGCAATGGGGGGGGGGGGAGGGCACATGGTGGAGATTAGAGTGGTGCCAAAATACTGAATATCTGAAACAACTGTATTCTGAGAACAACTTTGTAAATCTCAGCGTTCAAAGTTTCGATCACCTCGGCCATTCTTGGGTGTTAGTCTCCTATTTTGTTACTTTATGTTCCCCAGATGAAAGCAATCTTTCTATGTCTATCCCTCTCTTTCTGACTTTCCATATGGTAGCACTTGTATGTAAATTTCATGACTTCATCCTTTCTAACAGCTGCATAGTACTCCATTGTGTAGATGTACCAACGTTTCTTTAACCAGTCATCTGTTCTCGGGCACTCAGGTTTTTTCCAGATTCTGGCTATTGTAAAGAGTGCTGCAATGAACAACCAATTACAGATGTCACTTCGACTATACTTGTTTGCCTCTCTGGGATATATTCCCAGGAGTGGAAGTTTGCTCCATGGCTTGTAGGCCAGCTGCACGTGCTAGGGGTAAAGGCAGCTCAGATAGAGAAGGGAGCACCAAATAAAGGATGTTGGGAGGATCCTCCCAGGATGGCAGAAGCATGCTGAAACTAGACTCTAGACCAAACATGATTTTCACTCAATGCCTCTTTTGCAGACCACAACACCCAAAAGGAGAGAGAGAGAACAAAAGGGAATGCCCTGCCACAGAGGCGGGGTGGGATGGAGGGGATGGGGGGTGGGAGGGACACTGGGATCCGTGGTGGTGGGAAATGGGCACTGGTGGAGGGATGGGTATTTTGTCACTGCATAATCGAAACCTAAGCACAAAATTTGTAAATCTACAACTGTACCTCATGGTGTCTCACTAAAAGGTAAAGGTAAAGGCCCTCCCGTTGATCGTCGATTTGCTCGAGCGGGCCCAGTAACGTCTCCATTGGAGACTTTGTTGTTACTGTGTCTGGCATATCGAATACTCTCGGTAGCTTGCCGGGCTCTCCGAGAGGGGCGGAGGAATCGAACTCGGGTCGGCCATGTTGGCCGCTTGTAAGGCGAACGCCCTACCCGCTGTGCTATCGCTCCACTAAAAAAAAAAAAAAAGATTCTCAAGAGAAAAAGAGCCAACAGGATATAAAAATAAAGAATTTTTTTGTGAAAAAAAAAGTTTCAATCATTTTTTTTTTAAAAAAAGAAAGAAAAGAAATTTATTTTCACCTGTTTGTTAAGTTCCAAAAAGGCCTTCGAGAGCTTCTCGTAATAACCTTCCAAGGTCGCTTTTCCGTACTGGCCGTTAGTATTTCGACAGCATACCATGTAGTGCAGCTGCGGTGTGGTCAACAACCCATAATCTGTTCCAGAAATACAAAAGGCCGTTTATCATACTGCCTAAATTGAAAAGGATTCATACTTTCAGGCCTCCCCCACCCACCCCCATCCTCACCCCTACCACCAGCTAGTCCCAAGGTGGGGTCAGAAATTGAATCCAATTACCACCGGTGATGAAACATGACTGCGAAAGGTGGCGTCACTGGTTCTCGGTTAATGACCATATGGCAATGATCATACGGAGACTGGCCAGAGAGCATGGATGCCGGTAGCCCTTCCCACTCATCCAGCTTGATGCACAGCTCCTCTCCCATACTGCTATTCTGGAGTGACATTCTTTATAATAAACCCATTATCCAGGAAGTGCAATGTTTCTCTGGGTTCTGCAAACCACACTAGCACGTTACCTGAACCCAAGAGGGAGCACTGGAAGTCTCTACACGGGTGAGCAGCCCAGAAGACTGTGAGCCGAAGCGGGTGTAGGGCGGGCCCTCTGTGGGACTGGGCCCTCCACTTGTAAGAGCCGATGACCTCCACAGAAACAGGGTCAGGACTTAATCCACTGGTACTGGGGAAAACAGATACTGAACAGGTGCTCAACTCTAAAGAAGCATGAACTAGACGGGGAGCCAAAACGGGAAGTAGAGGAAAAGCAACTTCATAATCCAGCAATTCAGAGAAAAACAGAGTTCCACTTCCAGTCACATTACAAAGGGCCCAATTCAAATGAATCCTCCTTCTGGAAACAATACGAAAAGAGGAACTCCAAGATTTGAGCTAAGAAAAACCAATTTTGCTCTGAGGATTTGCTCTGAACTAGAAAACAGAACCGCAGTTCTCAATGCAAAAAAGTCATCTGGTCTTAAGATGGAAAAAAAAAAAAATTCAGTGAAAATCAAACCTGAAAGAAGCTGAGGCTGCAAAGGTCAAAAGGGAACCCCAAGCAAAATCAGTCCCAAATCCCTCCTCCCGGGAGAGTTGCCTTAACACCAAACAGACCAGGGCAAAGTCCGCATTAATGAGTTGTCAGAATTTCTAGCCCAAATTCACAAAACCACAGGGTCCAAAAAAGCCTTTGTCTCAAAGAACCTCATCAAACAGCCAACAATCTGGCAGCAGAAGCAAATACTAAATTCTGCCAAAGAAATACACCTTCAAGAAATGGCCCATCAAAGAAGGGTTAGAGAGAGAGCACGGAATAGTATTGGTCCTGCTGACCAACATAAGATCCCAGTACCACAGATGGTCTCTCAGTACTACCAGGAGTGATCCCTAAGGACAAGAGTAAGCCCTGAATACAGCTGGGTGTAGCCCAAAACAAACAACCAAAACAAAAAAGGAAAAGAAAAGAGGAAAAATCTTAAAGTTTTCTAAACACTAGAAAAGTGATGGTTCTAGAGATACAATAAGTATCTGGGTGTTCAAAAGAATAGGTTTTTAGAGAGGGAGAATGGGCCAGGCCAACTAAATGGAGTGTGTAACCTGAGAACACTCAGTGCTTTACAAATTGCAAACCCAAGCTGGCCAGTGGATCACAGATCCTATTCAGTGGCGATCTGCATTTCTTCATTTCTTGAATGAAGCAGACACACGCCATGTATTTTGTGCATTCTTGTGAAACTTTTCAGTTATATACGTATGCACGCATATACGCGGTATGATAGAAATGTGCTTCATAATAAGAATTGTGATCTGGAGTAGAATAGTATCCGAGAGTTGTCCATACAGGTAGTAAAAAACATCTGATGGACAAATGAATGAAAAAAAAGATCACATGTCGTCGGAACGACGCTAGTGAAGGGCAATCATCAGGAATCATGCAGAATGAAAAAGGTAAGAGAGGCCATAGGAAGACACAGCAAAGAAGCCTCAGAGAAGACCAGGAAGGATGCATGTACTCAAAAGGGAAGGATCACAGTGTAGAAAGCTACTGTGACATCAACGACAACGGTAAGTTTATAATAAGAATTCTGAAAGGTTTTTTTTTTAGGTCTAAGTTTTTTAACTAGATAACAAAACTTACTAAGTTTTGTCCTTAGAAATACATGTATGTAGGGGGCCAGAGTAATCGTCTAGTAGGCGGGGTATTTGCCTTGCAAGTGGCGTACAACCCAGGTTGCATCCCCAACACTCCGTATGGTGCCCCGAGTTCGAAAGGAGTGATCCCTGAGAATAGTAGGGTGTGGTCCAAGAAAGAAAAGAAAAGAAAAGAAAAGAAAAGTCTACAGAAACACGGTCGTATCTCATAGGCCCAACGTGGAACAAGGGGCTTCTGAAGTAAGGGCTCCCACACTTTATACCAGCCACCAAGTGCGGCCGTAAGACTCAGATGAGCATCAGGGAGACACGTCACTGGAGGAACAAGGAAGCGGAGGTCCCCTGGGAGGCTCAGGAAGGGCAAACAGAAGCCAGCTGAGCTAGTTCTCGGAAGAAAACAGATTAACTGTGAAGGAGGGAAATGAAGGAAAAGACTGTTCAGACACCATTTTTTTTTTTTTTTGCTTTTCGGGTCACACCTGGCGATGCACAGGGGTTACTCCTGGCTCATGCACTCAGGAATTACCCCTGGCAGTGCTCAGGGGACCATATGGGATGCTGGGAATCGAACCCGGGTCGGCTGCGTGCAAGGTAAAAGCCCTACCCGCTGTGCTACTGCTCCAGCCCCCACAAATTAAATATTTTTAATGTTTTATCTAACTTCCAAGTGTTGCTAATATGTACAACTCTTACAACTTTCATGTTTTTAAAAGATAATCTACAACTCAGGACAATCACATACCATGGAATTGACCTCCTAAAACAGTCACACCATCGATAACAGCCTGTGAAAGTTTCTTACTGCTGGGCCTAGGAAAAAAAAAAAGGAAGAAAATAAAATATCCCGTCTTGAAACCGACGGAGTTGTCATTTCAAAAAACAAGTACATGGATTCTATGTAAAAAATTCCAAGTTCATTGTCAGTAAAATAGAAACTGTCAACTCTAAAAATGCTGAAAAGAGAATATAGACAAATTATAAGCCTTTTCCAGTAGGCTTTCACAATATAATTCTTGGAATGCTTCTGGCTTCAGAGTAGATACAAAGGATGCTTGAACTCTGCCACACCAACAAAGACACTGTCTGAAAAAATCAGTAACAGTGGATACTAAATGCACATACTGCACACAAAGTTGTGTACGGTAATTAAACTGTACACAATTAAACCACCAAGGATAGACAACTTTTTAAATTTTCATAAGTAAAAACAAATGATCTAACAAGCAATACACACACACTGTCTAGCACTGCCTTTTCGGCAGGTGTGAGTGGTGGTGGAACTGGGCTCGGAATATCGAAGGTAGCCAAAGCAGAGAAAGAGAGTATTGTGCGAACTGTCTGCCACACGGGGAGGGGGAGGTGTGGAACTGGGGGGTGGGGAGATACTGGGAACTCTGGTGGTGGAAAACGTGCACTGGTGTTGGGTGTTTGCTGATTTTATGATCGAAGCTCAAACACGAAAGCTCTGTTACTATACCTCACAGTGAATCAATAAAAAGGAGGGAGCGGGGAATGATCTAAGTGAAAATAAAGCAGATCATGGCAGAGCTATCCTGGGGAGAGATGTTCTGTATTAGTAGCTTTCCAACTTCTTTCGGTGTAACCAGTTAGATCTTGTTACCTATGTTCGAGTGCAAACAGGAAAAAATATTTCAGACTGCTAAAGCAGAAAAACTATCATTTACAGTACTGTTTTTGTACAGTGGTTCTGAAATCTATTATACAATTAAATTTTATCCAGGTGCACGCTGCAGTAAGCAGCAATAACTATTTTGAGGAGTAGCAGGGAAACTCTGCAGAGGGACACAGGTCTGAGGACAAAGGTTGAAAATTGTTGTTCTGTATTATTTAGATTACTTAATAGATGGCACTGTCCTTCCATTGTTCATCGACTTGCTCAAGCGGGCACCAGTAATGTCTCCATTGTCAGACTTGTTGTTACTGTTTTTTAGCATATCAAATATGCCACGGGGAGCTTGCCAGGCTCTGCCATGCGGGTGGGATACTCTCTGTAGCTTGCCGGGCTCTCCGAGAGGGACTGAGGAATCGAACCCAGTTCAGCCTCGTGCAAGGCAAACGCCCTACTTAATAGGTAGGAAACCACAAAATGGTGGGGTGGTTTCATGGTAGGACAATGATTTACTTCAGAATAGAAGTCGACTTGGCTATCTCTGTTACCTAAACAAACAACAGCAGTGTATTGTGTACAACAGCAGTAGTATTCAAATGTTCCTCTGCTAATACGCTAGGTTAAACACCAGCCAAGAAAACAGGGAGAAAAAAATCTCTGGCCCAAACCAGACTTACCCAGGACAGAATGCTCTTTCTTAGTACACTTTTAATCTAAATTTTTTCTAAACGAAGAAATGTATCATTTCTGAAATAGATGTGATAGTTAGTGTGCTCTGTGAGCTTCAGTCGGAGAAAATGATGAGCTATTATGATATGAACATATAAAGCAATATATATAAAACTCATACATTCCTAGAGTAAAATCAAGAATCCTGACTCTATGGGGGGCGAGGGAGGGAATCAAGCCATAGAAGAAATAAAGGGACGGGAGACATTTAAGTGCATCAACTCTCAGACTAGGAAATAGTTTATATTCAGGTAACCCTCAAAAAAAAAAAAAAGAAAAGCCAGCTAAGCCACATCACTCCATAGATGAAGACATGGCAGCCCCCAAAGATTACGAGATTAAATGACCTGCTCAAATCACAGAGGGTCAGAGTTGCAAGTCTGGACCCCAAAGGGCCTTCGTGACTGGCCTCCTAAACCCAACGGGAAGGATCAGAAGGCGAAAAAAGCCTTTGGGACAGTCCCACTCAATTCCGTCCACTGACCATGCGCACAGAAAGTGACGTGACCGGTGAGACCTTGTCCCCCAGGCTGCCGTCCCTGACATCTCTGACAGTCACCTGGTATCTCTAGCAATCACGACGAAGGCCTCTTGCTGCAGATTCACGGCTGCTCTCTCGCTGATGTCCAGCAATACCCTCACCACCTCTTGCTCTTCAGCGTTTGCCAAGCGGGTGGCGTACTCCTCCCAGCACAGGGCCAGCATCTCCCCCAAGGGGTCCACTAGTTTCACACCGTTGTCCTCCTTCGAAGAGAAGCAGTCAGTCATGGGTACAGATTCCCAAGGCTGAGTCGACAGTTTTCTCAAACTGTTTCTCCCTCAACTGAAGCAAGAAGTGGGTAGGCCAGTGAAGGCCCCGTCCTGAATTAGGTTTATAAAAGTTGAATAATCCTGACTCTTATATCAGTTTAAATAATAATCCTAGGGGCCTGAAAGATAGGAGAGCAGATAAGGGTATTTTACTACCTTGCATGCAGCCAATCTTGGTTCCATCCTCGGTACCCGATACCGTGTCCTAAGCACCGCGAGGAGGGATTCCTGAGTGCAGAGTCAGGAGTGACCCTTGAGCACTACCAGATGTGCCCCCCCCCACCAAAACAAAACAAACGGTAATCCTATGAGGACGCCAATCTTCCTTTTGAGAAAACTGAGGTTCAAAGAAATTCACTCACATCACTGGGGTCAGTGAGGATATCAAAACATCAGACCTGACTGGTAAGCCTAATGGTCACTATACTACACTGGCTTCTGCTAAAGGCACAAGTGAAAATAGTCTACATAAAAAAAAAAAAGCCATTTAGAAGCAGCAAGTGCTGGCAGGGATGCGGAGAAAAAGGAAGCCTCATTCCTTGGTGAGAGTTGGTGCGAATGTTGTCTGGTGCAGTCTTTATAAAAAAAATGGTAGGAAAAATTCATCCCAGATGGTTCCCCGAGCACCTCCAAGAATAATTCCTGAGTGCAGAACTAGGAATAATACCTAAGCGAGTATAAGCACAATGGAATAGGACGGGGCCATAAGAAAAAAAATGAAGTCATGCCTTTTGTTACAATTCGAATGAGCTAAAACACATCACGTTAAACGCAATCAGTCGAGGAAGAAGGAGAAACACCAGGTGGCCTCATACGTGATGCACAAGAAAAAGGAAAGGGCAAAGGAACGGTATCTGGTATAACACGAGAACTTCGAACACGGGATGGGGGTCACCAAGCTGGGGAGGAAGAGGTGGTGAACCCTAGACACCCGAACAGCGGGACAGCCTTGGGCCCCCGGAGAGTGCGCAAGCATGATCACAAGCACAGTCTTTTTAAAGGCGAGAGAAAAAAAAGGCCCAGGTGAGGACTCACGGATGTGGCTCGGTGGTTGAGCACACCTGCTTCACACCAAGAAGCCGGGAGTTCGATTCCTGCCACCCTCCCACACTACTAAGCTCCATCCTCCAACACGGCTGCTGGGATCCTGAGGCTCCAAGTCCAAGTACTGGAACCAAGTGTGTGGGCCTGGGGCCCCACATCAAATGCTCCCCTAATACCACAAAAACAACACATAGAGGAGAAGCAGAAAAAAAAATTAAGTGCTAAATTATTATTTATTAATAATAAAAGAATTATCAAGGCAAAAAAATGGAGAAGAGTGAGGACACCCAGCAATCCTCAGCTCTGACTGTCTTCTACGAATATTCTAGTCTAACACTAGGGAGTCTACTGTCAACTGCTGATTCCATCCCAAGTTCCTCAAAACAAATACAGAGCAGTGCAGAGTGAACGTCAGCAGAAGGAAAAATTTAATCTCCTAGCTGTTTAACGTGAGAAAAGCTCACATCCAAAATAAAATAGACGCTATGGGCATGGAGGAAAAGGATGCCTCGGGCACTGCTGGCAGCGATGTAAACCGGCACAACTGCTCTGGAAAACAGTATGGACCTTCATCAAAAAAATACAGAGAGGTAGTACAGTGGGTGAAGTGCTCTGACCTACATGATTTTATCCTGGGGCTGCAGAGGCGGAAAATCAAAGATCCAAGCAACGGGAGCACATTTAAACCCGGGATTCGAGAACCACGGGGAGTACGGCGTGAAAAAGTTAAGTTGTGTTAAAAGAAATATGCTGGGGCCAGAGAGACGGTAGAGTCGGTCGGTGAAGTGCTCACTCCCCATGCATGCTGTTAACCCTGGTTCCATCCACTCGTGATCCCCCAAGTACCACCAGGAGTGATCCCCGAGTACAGAGGCAGGAGGGGCCCTGAGCACCGCTGGGTGTGGCCCCCAAAACAAAAAGAAATAAAAGAAAGACTTTGATAACAACAACAGTACCATGAACACTGAAACCCACCTGGCTCCATCAATATTTTGTCCAACGCTCACTTTCAGATTCCCAGATTGCCTGTCTGTGCATTCGCATTGTAAAATCGTTCCCTATCCGAAAACCACTCTGAAAATGGTCAGTGCTCAGTCTTTCCCAATGCTCACCCTTCCCCCACCCTACTTCTAGTCTCTAATCAGACTGACTTAAGAGGTCCCAGTTAATGACCAATACTGTCTCCAGACAACTAACTTGGAAGGACACTCTGTTCTCTCGCTAAAATGACGGACTCTCTCCAAAACATGAGTCTCACTTCATTCGCTCCACACCCAGAGAAGAGTCATGGGCCAAATGACCAGTATTGGAAAAAAACTGCTTCAAACCCAAAGGCTCATGCAAACAAGGGGCAATGAGAACGCCACACTGCGAGGGGAGTGAAGCCAAGGTCAGCTTTACCAAAGCTCTGAAGAAATTCGTTACCTCGGGGTTATGAGATGCTGTGACCATGACTCCTATTGTAGATTTTGTTTGCTTGGACCTCAGGACAGCTAGCAATCCCATGCGAAACATGACGTGATCAAGATGTTCTGCTTTGGTTCGAAACCCAGCAGTCCCATACTGAAGAGTAAGTCCATTGGGCTTGGCATGCAACACGGAGTATTTTGAAATAGCATCTACGTCCATGTCTACAAAACGAAGGAACAGTTTTCCAGCATAAGAAATCTTCCAAGGGCCATTTGCTTCAAACACTGACACTTTGATGGATCTTCATTCTGAATTCCCCCCCACCATCACCCCAAAGAAACAGGCCCTTGAGAGGGAAAAGAATGGCAGAATAAGTGCTGGGGATCAGCCTTCCCAGGACTATCAACTGGAGGCAAAATCAGACGGCCACCAATTCCGACTTCAGTGCCAGAGAGGATTCCACACCTCAACTCCACCTCCCGCAAGTTCTCAGTGAGATCAAAGATTCGTCACGGCACAAATGGGAAGACTTAAGCCAGAACCTCCTTTAAATAATCTAAAATTAACAGGCACTTTATTTGAGGCCAACTATGAACTAGACCCCTAAAACTAAAATAGGGGCTGGGGACCACAGACAGAGCACAGCAGGTACGGCACTTGCTTTCCATGAGGCTCTCGGAGGGGTTCCACACCTGACACCCCCTTTGGTCTCCCGAGTCCACCAGGTATGATCTGTGAGGACAGAAATCTGTGACTCTGCTGCTACGCACACCCCCGGTACAGACAAGGAAAAGGCAAAGAGAAAGCAACTTTTCTCCAAAACTGCCCAGACCCCCTAATGCACAGTGCAGGGAGCACCATCATTTTCCTAAGGACGAAGTGGAACACCTTTCCACAGTCAGCTCTGACACTCTTCCTTTTACCACTCATCTTAAACACCAAACGCGGGCTCCTCTCTGCCGTTCCTTCCCTTTTTTTTGGCTGACTCCAATTCTATGCCTAATTCGGGGTTTCCCAACTCAGCCCCATTGGTTAATGGTCATGCCAATTGACCATGCCATGAGCCACCCACCTCCCTGTATATACTCAAGGCTCTCCATGGTCCTTCAGTGCTCCAGTGCACACAAGTCAAAGGCAATTCTCCTGTCCAAAAAAATAAAAAAAAAATAAAAAACCTGAAATTCTGCAGGCTCATCTCAGGAGCATGAGGACAAGTTTTCTAATGATTAACCAGTTGGACAATGCAACATGATTACTCCCAAGAGCATGTGCACCGGTCCTTTTAAGTCTGGACCGCACTAAAAAGGAAATGCGATCAAAGGCCCCCAACCCATGCAGGCTGCGGGGGTCCTCAGCCTCAGTCTTCGAATGTTCCTGGAATTCAAAGTGCATTTTCAAAGCACGTCTTTTTCCCCCCAAACTCAGGGCTGGCTCTCGGAAAGCGTGTCCCCCTCCCCCTGCCCTCCCTTCAGCCTCCGAAGCCCCGTCCCTCCCGCTCTCCTCCCAGCAGCCCGCATCGGGGCCCCCTCGCCCCCCGCCCACCCGCGACCCCTGGCAGTGGGCGCGCGCCCCGTCGCGGGACCCTCGGGCGGCCCAACGGCCAGTGCCCGCCCAGGCGAGGCGGGTGGGCGTGTCCGGCGCGCGGCCTGAGGGTCCGCCGGGGCCAGCGCGCTAGCCCGAGGGTCCGGTGAAGCCCTGTGGACCCCTGGCCGCAGCCCCAGTCGCAGACCCCCGCTCACCTCCGCCACGAGCTCGCCCCCGAGTCTCCGCCGCGCAGGGACCAGGACTCGAGCCGCAGACGTGGCTCTGCGTGACTTCCGGATCGTCGCCACGCCCCCCGGCCAATCACGGCGGGGGAGGATCCGCTGGCCCCGCCCCGCCGCGCGGCCTGGCCCCGCCCCGCCTCGCCGCCTGGCCCCGCCCCGCCCTGCCGCCTGGCCCCGGCCCCGCCGCCTGGCCCCGCCCCTCACCGCCGCCTGGCCCCACCCCGCCTTTCCGCCTGGCCCGCCCCTCCACGCCGCCTGGCCCCGCCCCGCCTTTCCGCCTGGCCCCGCCCCGCCCCGCTCCGTCGCCTATCCCCGGCCCCGCCGCCTGGCCCCGCCCCGCCCCTCCGCCTGGCCCCGCCCCTCCCTCCGCCTGGCCCCGCCCCACCCTCCGCCTGGCCCCGCCCCGCCCTGTCTCCTGGCCCCGCCCCAATGCCTGGCCCCGCCCCGCCCCGCCCCGCCGCCGGCCGCGGACGCGCCGCTCGTGCCCGCGGAACTGCGGATCTGGGTTCGGAGCGGGCCGGGGGCTGTTTCCCCCGAAAGAGCTGGAAGGGTGAGGCGTCCGCGGGGGCCCGGGTGTTGGGGCCGAGGGCAGCTGTCACGCCGAGAGGAGGTCGGCGAGCGGGGACGGTTTCCTCGGCTCCCAAGGGGGCTCCCAGCCCCGACCCGGGGTCTCTCCGTGGGAGGGTGGCGGAGAGCGGGTCTCGGGCTCGGGGGCGGCTCGCAGCTCCCCGCTCGCCCTTCCCGCTGCTCGAGATCCCCCTCCCAAACCTCTCCTCCCGGGAAACCGTCTTCCGCGCGTCGCCCCCACCCCAGCTGGCGGGAAACGTCATTTTTTTAAGGTACCTGCAAATCACCCCCCGACCCCCCAAAGCCTGGGTCCCTGGATCCGGACCATCCGAACCCACCGACGCGTCCCGGGGACTTCTGGGGCTAGGGGATGTGCGTGTGTGTGTGTGTGTGTGTGTGTGTGTGTGTGTTGGGGGTGTCCCTGCAGAGAAGGAAGGGCCCAGGGGGAGTGGTCCTTGCCCACTGCACCGGGGTGGGGGTCTGGCTGCGAGTGGCATCGCGGGCGGGGGGCCACAGCGGTCCTGAGCTCCCCGCCCCCGCCCCCAGCCCCCAGCCCCCCAGCTCGCTGCAGACCGCTGGCCTGCGCTCCGCAGCCTGGTCCGTCTGGGCGCTGTGGGTGGGATGCCTCGCCGGGACCCCCGCTGCTCCCCTCCCTCCTACGCGGGTCCCAGAATTGGGGCCTGCAGGTTTACCTGCCCACCACCTGCACTGGGATCCTGCTCACACTTGTTGATTGTCGGTTTTCCCGGTCTAAACGCAAAGCGGGCGTGTGGGTCGGAGGGAAACTGTAACTCGGTACCTGCGTGGTCTTGTTACTTTGTATCAGATTTGGGGGTCCGGAGATACAGCGCGTCAAGCGTCCCGCTTTGTGCCTCCAGGTCTGGGTGCCTGGCGCTCCTGCAAGAACCACCTCCGCCGAAAGGAACCTTTTCAGAGATTTCCTTGGACGCCTGTGACGTTGCCAGGACCGGGGTCCCGGGCCTTTCCGGGTTTGCTGGCAAGTTGACTTGGAGGCGTCATGTCCGCGTCAATGAAGGAATGCCTTCAGCTTCAGCTGCTGGAGATGGAAATGCTGTTTTCCATGTTTCCTAATCACGGAGAAGTGAAACTTGAAGACGTAAATGCCCTGACGATCATAAAGCGGTATTTGGAAGGCACAAGGGAGGCACTCCCACCGAAAATCGAATTTGTGATAACCCTGCAGCTTGAGGAGCCCAAGGTGAGCGCCCCGAGTTCTTCTCATTGTTGCTAGGCACCAGGTTTTTATTGGAAACATTAGAACATGAGCTCATATTTCCGAGAAACTGAATATTCCAAATGCACGGTTTACTCGTTTGGAAGGCAAACATGTAAACTACAGGATTGCTATCAGTTCCTTAATAAGTACCTTGAATTTTCTGTAAATTTCACGTCTTTTTACAAACCGTGTTTTTATTTGAACGTTATCTGTTACGAATGTTGCTCTACCAGTTTTTCATCTAATTTTTTTTACCAGTTGAGCCATATCTGACATGTGTATGATGGTATTTCGAAACCTAAATATTGCCTTTAGCAGAACTGACCTACAGGGAACATTTTCTGAGTGGTGCCATATTACAGAAAAAAAATAAAAACAGAAAATCTACTTGCTGAAAATGGATTCACCTGGTGAGAACCACTACCTTGGACTCACAAGGAGACCCTTGGATTCATGAGGACACTCATCCCTCAGGGGTCATTCCTTAGGGTCTCCCTGGATGCCAACACTGGACGCAGTCCCTCTAGTTACAAATCTACTTTCCCATGGCGGTGCCTCTCACTCTTGTAAATACACAAAATGTGTAATTACATATTAATGTCTGTCTCTTTCACTAGGCTCTAGCCTTCATGAAATGCAGCAATGTTGTGTAGCTTCTTCACCTCTTTATGCTTCACTTGTTTACAACATTGCATACCTGGCACAGGGTTCATATGTGTGTGTGTGTGTGTGTGTGTACATATATATATGTGTGTGTGTATATATATATATATATATCTCACAGTCATGGTCCTCCCGTTGTTCATCGATTTGCTCGAGCGGGCCCAGTAACGTCTCCATCGTGAGACTTCTTGTTACTGTGTTTGTCATATGGAATACGCCACGGGGAGCTTGCCAGGCTTTGCCGTGCAGGCGAGATACTCTCAGTAGCTTGCCGGGCTCTCTGAGAGGAGCGGAGGAATTGAACTCTGGTTGGCCATGTTGGCTACGCCCTACCCGCTGGGCTATCGCTCTAGCATATATACATATATACATATATATGTGTATATATATGAATAGATGCATAAAGGAATCATGTGATGCCTGGCCCATACCTGACTTCATAGCAATGACTATTACATTTATCAAAGCCACGTAGATACCCTTGATAAGCTAGCTTCTGTGTGATCTCATGGTACTTTTGTCTTTCTGATTTTCATTTTAAGGTGAAAATTGATTTGCAAGTGACCATGCCTCACAGCTACCCACACGTAGCCCTGCAGCTGTTTGGACGATCATCCGAGCTCGACAGACAACAGCAGCTGCTTCTCAACAAAAGCCTCACTTCTTACATAGGAATGTTTGATCCAGGTGAGCTGTGCGTGTGTGCCGCCATCCAGTGGCTGCAAGATAACAGCGCCTCCTACTTCCTGAGCAAAAAGATCGCTGACGAACCGTCCGCACGAGCAAAACCCGTCAAGAACACATTTCTCCGCATGTGGATCTACAGTCACCATATATACCAGCAGGACTTAAGGAAAAAGATCCTGGAAATTGGCAAAAGGCTAGACGTGACTGGATTCTGCATGACGGGAAAGCCTGGTATCATCTGCGTGGAGGGCTTCAAAGATCACTGTGAGGAATTCTGGCACGCAATCAGGTATCCCAACTGGAAACACATATCGTGTAAACATGCCGAGAGTATAGAAACGGAAGGAAATGGGGACGATCTGCGCTTGTTCCATTCTTTTGAAGAATTACTCCTGGAAGCCCACGGGGACTATGGATTGAGAAATGACTACCACATGAATCTGGGCCAGTTCTTGGAATTTCTGAGGAAACATAAAAGTGAGCACGTTTTCCAGATATTATTTGGCATTGAAAGCAAAAGCTCAGACTCGTAGGAAGCTATTAAGATCCCTCTGCTTGTAACATCATTAAACTAGTGTTTCTGTTTATAATAAGACAAAAATTTAACAGGCCAATTTCTATTTGATGTACTGTAACACAGGTCCAGAGTTTTCACCTGGTAATAAAATACACAGGTCTTTTAACTTTGTTAACAGTGAACTTGTGACGTTCTCTCTATGTCCTTGTATTCATTGCAAATGATTTTTTTCCATTAACCCAACGAAGCTGATTTGATTAAAGGGGAGTACAAAGCCCACAGTTACTTGTCGGTAGCTGTGAACTCAAATGCAAACAGCATTTCTCCCATTTTGTGGGCCTACAGAGACATCCTCTGTTTTCTTTGTTTCACTATTTAGATGTTCTAAGTCAAGTTTAATATGAGGACAAAGAGAACACATGTTTATTACACTTCTTACTATAAACTCCCTAATTGTTTTTTTCTTTCAGTAGAACTAAGTACTGTCTGGTAGAGAACTCCAAATACTGAAGTCTCGAGTGTAATGGTAGTGACTTATACTGCTTTGTGTTCCTTGCCGTTCCCATTAGATGAGTCATGATACTGAGGCTGATGTTACCTAAATTCCTAGTACAGTTATTACCTACACACACACACAAAAGGATTCTTGCTCCAGGTAATGCAGCTGGCAGCCTCTGCCTCAGTGCTATATTCATTCCTGTGTCGGGCAGAAGTGTTGACAGAGGACTAATGTGTCTGGCTCCTGACCACCAGCTTACTTGGGAGAAAAAGCTCTACATTTCATCTCTGGTGAAAATTCCAAGTTCCACAGGTTTTACCAGCCATTTTCAAGATGAAACTTTATTTTAATGGTAAAAAGTCCTAGTCAGGTAGCTCTTTACAAAAGTGTTCATGACAATGTACCCTCTCCCGAAGGATTTCTGAGGTCTCCCCTGTGTTGTGAGGGCTGCCTCTGGCTAGGATTCCTTGATTTCCTCTTTTCTCTCTCTCCTCCTGCCCTTTCATTTCTCCGCTGGGACCCAGGCACCCTACTGATACTATGGTCCTCCAAGGATTCCAAAGATGGGTCTGGATTTAGAAACAGAGGGGAATGTCTCTCTCCCTACCTAGTGAACCTGCGAGATGCCAAATGCTGCTACACGTGCCAGATGGTCTACAGAGTTTTTTATATAATAGTCCATTCCAGTCTTACTCTCTTTTCCGGTCCTACTTTCTAGAACGCAGCCATGTATATGTCTGGGTGAGGGGAAGCCCCAGGCCCTTCAGGAGCCACTCCTGCTGTAGCCACTTAGTCACGCCTGTGCCCTGAGCTCAAAAGACAGCTCCTTTTAGCGCGCAATTCAGACCTTCACCATGGCTGCCCATCTCTGATCGAGTTCTGCCCTCAGACCCTGGCTGGCACTCAAGCTGGGGCCTCACACTCCACCTGTCTACAAGTGGAGGAGTTAGTATTTGCACTGGCAGAGATTCATATCCCAGTCGATATGAGGATCAAGACATAATGTGGGACTCAATTTCCCATATAATCTCAGTAAGTTTCAATAAGTATCATTAGCATTTATTGATTTTTTAGGTCCTGAACAGATGACACTCCATGAGTTTTTTTCTTTGAACTAAGACAACATATGCCATCTACCTAACAAATACAAAAGCCACTGAGATCTTTCTGTGATTCAATTGACAAATACATCTTCAGGAAGTCACTCAAGAGAATATAGACTAAAAAATAAATGTTTTGCATAAATCAGTATCACTGTCCTCCCATTGTTCATCGATTTGCTCGAGCGGGCCCAGTAACGTCTCCATTGGAGACTTTGTTGTTACTGTGTCTGGCATATCGAATACTCTCGGTAGCTTGCCGGGCTCTCCGAGAGGGGCGGAGGAATCGAACTCGGATCGGCCATGTTGGCTGCGTGCAAGGCAAACGCCCTACCGCTGTGCTATCGCTCCAGCCCACATAAATCAGTAAGCATAAATCAGTAAGTGAAATAATTTGTTTTGAACTCTTTAATGGAGTTATTTCTGACTCCAGTAAAAACTAGTTTTATACATTCTATAGGTGCATGAAAGAACACATTTCTTCCTATCAGGAGCAGTAATAATATTCATTAGTTAGGGGAGGACTATAGGTTTTAAAAGAAAACCTTAGGGACTCTGGCCAGGGATATAACTGTGTGTGTTAGAGCACAAGCCTTGCATATATGAAGCCCTGGGTGCAATTCTTTGCACCACCAGTCTCTGTGTACATGTACAGACACATATATTTATGTTTATATACTTATGTGATCATTCAAAACTCAGTCTTGTATATATCATGGACTGCTGGCTTTGCTTGCCCAGCCTGATGGGAGTGCATCCAGCCCTTCCATCTGCTTTTCCCCACTGACCTCTCCCTCTCGTAACTCCCTTCAATTCCAAGTCAGGGGAACAGCTCTTTCTCTGTGAGTTTGCGATTTGGGAGTAAAAGTGATTTGCATCAAATCATCCTCCAGAATCCTCCTGGAAAAGCGGTTTTTGACCTCTTGCTGTTTAAATCCATAATGCCCCCTTCGTTTTTGGCATACTGAATGCCCAGTTGTCTGATGCCTCCTTTGAATTATCCAAAAGCTGTCCTTTTTCTTGAATTGTTTATTGCTTGTAACTTGAGAACAATGACACTGTACACCCAATCCAACCACACTGTCCTCCCGTTGTTCATCGATTTGCTCGAGCAGACCCAATAACGTCTCCATTATGAGACTTCTTGTTACTGTGTTTGGCATACTGAATACTCTCGGTAGCTTGCCAGGCTGTCCGAGAGGGGCGGAGGAATCGAACCTGGCTCGGTCGGGCTGGCTGCGTGCAAGGCAAATGCCCTACCGCTGTGCTATCGCTCTGGCCCTGGCAAAACGACTCAACTATCTATTTTTTAATGGTCATTTGGAAAAGAACTGTTCCTGTAGACTAAACTACTCTGGTTATATTGATCTTGCTTCCTATCATCATAACTCCTTTCATCTTTTCTACAATTAATTGCTGCAAAGGGCTGTTGCCATTCAGCTTCCATCAAGCCAAGATTTCTGATGAATCTTGAAAGGAGGACACCATTTTAACCAAAGCATCTCCCACAGGTCTTTTCAGCTTACAGTGAAGGGTCCTGAAAACACTTTTGTGAATGCTACTACATTGGCCTCACCAATATATTTCTCAAAGCCTTAATGGAAGGAATGTCACGGTTAGGTCCCCCTGAGAATTTTAAGGGATTATAAGGATTTGGAGGGTCTGTCAGATCAGACTGCTATTAGCAACGCCACTCTGATACTCGTTTCTGTAAATCTTTTCAATAAGATGCGCGACATCTTATTATCTTATTTTTCCTTTGGAGAACCTGGCAGGCTACCAAAAGTATCCTGCCCACACGGCAGAGTCTGGCAAACTTCCTGTGTCGTACTCAATATGCCAAATACCAGTAACAATGATGGGTCTCATTCTCCTAATCCTAAAAGAGCACTGAAATGGCTCTTTTAAAATCTCAGGGATAGGAAGAAGGAGCCGTTTCTGGTTCCTGCTGGAGGACATCGACGAACAACAGGATGATTGTGATCATGATATGATTTCAAGGGATGTTTACCTTTTCAATTTTATGTAATGTGGGCCCATAACTCTTCATTTCAGTCAAATAACTGAACCAACAAGAGAACCAGCTACTTTCAGCTGCTCAAGACGCGTACTGAATCCAAACACCTCTGCCTGATGTACCCACTTCTGCCCAAACCTCAATATTTCTCCTTCCTCAGTTTATTTAGAGAATTTCATAAGGTTTCCCACACCTTTTCCAATATAAGCAACCTGGAATTCTTTTGTTGGACTCTTTTGGGTCGGCCATGTTGGCTGCGTGCAAGGCAAATGCCCTACCGCTGTGCTATCGCTCCAGCCCTGGGCGTCTAATCTCGCCCAGGGCTGGAGCGATAGCACAGCGGTAGGGCGTTTGCCTTGCACACAGCCAACATGGCCGACCCGAGTTCGATTCCTCCGCCCCTCTCGGAGAGCCTGGCAAGCTACCGAGAGTATCTCGCCCACACGGCAGAGCCTGGCAAGCCACCCGTGACGTATTCGATATGCCAAACACAGTAACAACAAACTCTCCAATGGAGATGTTACTGGGCCCGCTCGAGCAAATCGATGAACAACGGGAGGGCCTTTTACCTTTACCTTTTGGGTTTGACTTTTTAAATGTGTTCACTGCAGTCTCTCACCATGCTCAAATCTGCTCTATGAATACTGATAATAAGTTATGTGGAGAAAAAGGAGATAAAGAGCGGTTTTTACAGGGTCTTTAAGCAAGACATTAGTGACCCTCGTCTGATGGGAAGTGTTCCTGATTGATTGAGAAAGCTGAATGTGTACAGGATATAACCATTTGGCCAGGGCTGAGGGATTTCCTGGGACAAGATTCCTTACGTACTCGAACCCAAGTTACAGTTAGGGTTGCTTAAGTCATACAAATCTGCACACCAATATCTCATTCCAAATCAAGACCCCACAATTATCTCCTGGTTGATACTTTCTCTTAGCCTTTACATAAAGGCCATACTTATGAGTATTTTAATGCAACTCCTAATATAATTTGACAACCAGAAAATTTACTCTGACCTTAGTTTTTAATGATTTCAAACTTTTACCTTGCAAGAGAAAATTTTAAGCAAAAGCATAAGCATTTCCCAGTTTCAAAACCATGCTTTGTGCTGAAAATTCAATCACTTAACCTACTCTTCCTCTTCGTCCCCCAAGCTGTGTTGGTCTTCTTCCCCACCCAGGTCAGTTTATCTGCTGGTATTCGAACCCGGGACTTGAATTTTTCCCTGCAAGCCCCCCAGGTGTCCTCTCGAACCTTGGGAGAAAAGCAGCCCTGAGCCTCTGCCTCTTCCTCTTCGTCCCCCAAGCTGTGCTGGTCTTCTTCCCCACCCTGTCTTTACTCCCCCCCCAACACACACCAGGTACCTGTGGGGGTGTGACCTTTTCAGAAGTGGGCGTGGCTTGGGTGGGAATGGGCGTGGCTTTATTTTAGGCAGGCAGCCGCTCACGCACCCACGGGTAGTTTAGTC